GGTTATCTTTCGAAATGAAGGAATAAAAAAAAACCCGACACCGGCAACGGCAATGGAAAATCCCTGTGAGCTACCGTGTAAATTGTTACAAAAAGTCCCCCACGAAGGGGAAAAAGAAGGGGAGAAAAACGAAATAAAGATTTTAAAGGGCAATCCATAGTTAGTCCAATCGTATTTCAGTTCTTCGGGCAGGGATACACGAAAAGAAGTTCAACGAGGACAGAAACTCCAGTCCCTCCGCTAGACATGAGTAACCTTCCTCCGTCGTTTTCTTTCCCCTTTGCCCTAGCCTCAAGTATGCCCCATTTCCCATGCATGACGGTTCAGAGGATTCCATCATCTCCCCCACTCCCAAACATGCATCAGCTAGAACGGCATAGAGGTGCAGCTTTGAGTACTCCATTATCAAGAAAATTAAAAATAAAGAACATGAAATCTCAACTATATAAAGAAAATCACTATATATAAAGAAAGAAGGATACTAACTCATATAGCGTGGGTACCCTGCTGGCAAATCCATAAAGGAAGCCAATCAGGTCGTGTCGCTCATGCCTTACATGGTCAATTCCATAATGGCATTCACCATATCCCCGTTGTTGTTCTTCAAGGCCTTGATTGCCTTTCCGCGGGAGACCTTCGCCTGAGACATCACCATGTTAATTTCCTTCTCTGGGAGGTCGCCGGCATCGCATTCCGCGTCGCTTTCCTCCTTTGCGTCATCGGCGACTTCCTCGACCTTCGCGGGGGCGGCGGTCTCGCCATCGGCTCCGAAGACCGCCGCGCGGGCCGCCGCCTCCTGCGCGATGGCCCCAGCGTCCTCCAGCTGGGCCTCACCGAAGATCACGAAGGTGTTGGTCCCGGGAAAGCGATAAACCTCTGGCTTCGCCAACACGAAGGACAGGGAGCCGTTTTTTCGGATGTTCACCTTCATGATGTTCGGCTCCGGCTTCAGCCCGAGCTTCGCCATGGACTTCGCGTAACGCTTGGACTGCTTCAGCACCTGCGCCATCTCAGCGGTCTCCAGCGTCGGGACCTCCTCGGTGGGGGCGGGGAAGTTCGGGGATTGCACGTCGGTGGTCATCGTTTAGGTCGGGTCAAGGCGTTTTATATAAATATATATATCTGTATATATTTATTATTTATATAAAAAAAAAGGGTGGCTTTCGTCTTGTGAGAAACAGCGGAGTAGCGTGAGATTTCTTTATTATTATTTATTTATTTTTTGGGGGGGGAAATGGGAAAAAAGGCGAAATTTTAGTTTCCAAGCTCAACACACCGGGCAAAGCCTGTTAGTTACAGGGACTACACAGAGGGGGATTGATGAAATGTAAAAAAAAAACACAACTGAGGGAGATGAGAAGAGCCCATTTCTAAGGTTTGTGTTTCTAAAACAAAATACGTCTATTTCCCATCCATTCAATACTATTCTTTAACCTTAGCCCATATGAAGTGTGACATTATCTTTACTTTCCCATCGATCGCATCACATCACCTTATCCTTTATAGTTTGGGTATCAGTGTACGCACCAAAGTGTGTATTTCGGCGTCTTCAATACAAAGCATCAGGAAAAGGTATCTGGAAGGATTATGACAATATCACTTGAAAAATATCAAAGGAAAATAGTATTATGGCAACATCAGAAAATAAAGTTTTAAGCAAATATAAGCATAACGATGTTATTTACTTCAGTGTATATGAAGGGACGTAACGATCAGAAGTCATTATTGATGAAGTAATTTTATTGACTATTTTGTCATTTCAATACTTAATCAATATCTTCCAGAGTTTTAGTATTCTTGCCGCTTGCGTTGGGGGCATGAGAGTCTAAAGCCGCCTGATCTGCATCATCACGTTGATCTACACTCTGATAGCAAAAAACTGGATTGGATGGCTTACAGCCAAAAGCTTGGGTATTGACTCTTTCATCACCTCCCGCGGGAGGGACTGGTCGTTGTTCAGGAATAACACCTTCTGCTTCAGTGGATTCATCCAAAACAAACCCCAAACCACAGCACATGCAGAACGAGGTTAACGTAAGGAATGTCAACCCTGCGAGGAGTGGGATGCATGCGACGAAAAAAGTTGGGTGTAAGGCGTTTCCCGAGATCTGGAGATTATATTCCCACTCCAGCTTTGCGGCCCACATACACACCATGTAAAGCCCGGAAGCTGGCCAAACTACGGCGAGGATGACATTCAAGAGGCGCATTCCGCACGATGGCCGCCGTTTGGCTTCTGCCGTTTGTCTATTTCTCTCAGTTTCCCCTAACGCGGAATAGGGCTCATCCGGGGAATTTCCTTGGGGTTTGTCTCCATCCGAGTACGGACATAGGCAGGTGTAAACCGCCTGCACGGTCACCCAGATGCCAAAATAGATGATCAGCGGTGCGAAGACGACCCAAAAGGAGAGTATCTCTCCTTCATTCCTATTCGTCGATTGGGCCGAGCGGTGGTCCAGCGATCCCTGCGCGGTTCGTTTGTACGCCAGGCAGATAAACACAATCACACAGAAAATCTCACACACCTCGTGTGCCGCTTCCATGACGTAATCCTTCCACGACCACTCTGACGAAGACCGCATCGAGGGTGGGATGGAGTCGTTCAACATGGCGCTCATTCGTTTTCGATTTTTCGCGTACACGGAGGGGATCAAAAAGTAGATGGACCGCGCCGCTAACAACGCGTACCATATCGCCCACGGAATAAACGCGCGAGAGGGAGGCTGGATGAGCCCGGACAACGCGAGCGTGGTGATGATCGCGGCCGCCACGATCATCAGCATCTGTAGACCTATGAAAGTGAGAATCACCGTCCGCATCCGCGCGGCCACGATGAGGGCGATGATGCCGATCCCCACAAAAATCGGGGCGATCATCCAGAACGGCAGCATGATGAGTCCCCATCCCCAGTCTAAGCGCGACTCCACGCGAAGCCCCACCAGGATCAGCCCGGCCAGCCCCATGAGCGTGATGAAGCCAAGGAGGGTCAACCCCCCCCGGGCCGCGCGGAGGACCCCCAAGGAGGCGAACACCCCGCTCGCGTCGAGGAGCTTCATCTGCTCCCGGCCGAGGGTGTCGTAGAGGCTGCGCTGGGCGGGGTCGTGCAGGATGCGGTGGGCCTCCTCGATCTCCTGAAAGGCCTCAACAGAGAGGCCGCCGGTGCGGTCAGGGTGGAGCCGCAGGGCCAGCGCGCGATAGCGGCGTGAAATCTCCCCCGTCGAGCAGTCCGGGGAGACCTGCAGGACGTCGTACAGGTGGCCACTGCAGTTCCGAGGTAACATCAGGTCCCAGATCGAGCGCGGTTACCGGAAGGTTCGATATTATTACACCGGGTGAATAAGCAAGAATATATAGAGAGAGAAAGAAAGAAAGAGAAGTACAGGTCTGAATATGTGGGTTCTACCAATTCTTGAAATTGAGAGGAAAGGGTTCCCAGTTGGGGTTGGATTCAGTCCCCATTGGGGGTTGGGTAAGAGAACCCGGGAAGGCGAGAGATGGGGATGGAGGAAGTCACACATCGTTGGATTGTGGAATCCTAATAAGTTTTTATTTTTGGGTTTCTGAATTTACATCTATTACAACGTGGTCTACTTCACTACACTACTATGCTCCCCATTTATGGTGACATCATAGTGGTGAGCACCGTAATTTACCTCCACTAGGACGGTAACAGCCGCACTAAGGACCGCGAATAAAGTGATTTAAACCAAGAAGGCGACAATACCTTTGCTTGATTGTCGAGAAGTATGAAAGGAAAACAAAGTATCTATCAACAAAGTATCGAAAAGAAGATCAGTTAGATAAAAGTGAATCCACAGGGCACGTTAATTGTGGGGATTGCAATGGAAAAGAAACACCTTGATTGGTATCCTTTTGGGGTTTGCGATGCTATCCCGCGCTGTGCCTAAAGGATTATACACAATATTCGTCATTTAGGTTATATTTCGTATTATGCAATTCATTTGACCTCATTAAATATATAAAGGTATGCCATGGAAAAGTTTCATCGATTCCCTCGCCGTAGCTCAAGTAAAGAAGAAGGAAAAAGAAGTCACTACACCGAATGAAAAGAGTCGATGTCATAAAACATTTATCCCTTTCGTTTTTTCTTCTCAAGAGCCGCGCGTCTTCATAGGCGTTCCCCTCTTCAGCTTCTACAATTCAAATCCCAGGCACACCTCCCGATCCGCGAGGACGAGACGTGTGCGTTCTCGAAAGAAGAAAAAATCTAATAAAAAAAAAGAAAAAAAATAGCCCTCAACCCCTTCGTTTAAGTGGAGGTTGCAGGATAGACGAAGGGCGGACGGTGCGCAGCGTGTGGTGCACTAATGGGATGGGCCACGATGCCAGCAAAGCGGCCTCTTCGTTAGTCGGAATCGGTTTTGCATGGCTCACCGAGGAGGAAAGCGGGGCGGTGGTTCGGAGGGTTAAGGAGGGTTTGGGTTTTAGGAGTTTCCCGCAGGAGCCCTTCTTCCCTCGGGCCGCTTTTGGCTTTTCTTTCAGGCCCAGGGTGGGTTTGGGGCGGACTGGGGCCTTGTTGGAAGGGCCAGGGGGGGAGGCGATCACCCCGGCGCGTGTTCGCCCCGCCCCTCGCGGCGGCGGGGAAAGAAAAGACGAGGACGGCGACTCCAAAGAAAGCGCGGACAGAACCGTCGTCGAGGACCCCGTCCGGCCGCTTTTGGCCCGCGCGGGGTCTCGTTTCTTCCCGGAGGAGGAAAGCCCCAGCCGAGGCTCCCCTCGCGGCGGTGTCGTCCACAAGAGCTGCCGAGAGGCGTTGGTTGGGTCGCCATTCAGCCGGCCGAGGCCGCCGGTATTTTTGTCCTCCGCGCGAGGGGTCGTCAGGGCCGACCGCGCCGTACTCGGCGAGACCTTCACATACGACAACGAGGCCGACGAGACGACGATCGAGGAGATCCCGCGGGCGGAGAGCGGGAGGGCCCGCGAGTGGTCCAAAAT